ATAATTTTTTTAAAAAGGTGACATGCTTCATCATCAGTATTGGGGAACCCTGACTGAGTTTTAAGTTCATTTACAATGTCACAGTGTTCAGTTTTCATTTACTTTTACAAGTACTTCTTCTGAGTCTCTTCACTCAACCGTCCATCAGTCAGCACTACCAGGTTTTCTCTGAATTCGTGCCTTTTGTCACTTCTTAACACTGTAATAATATTCCATTACTCTCCAATAAACAGATTTGTGTAGTCACTCCCCAACTGATGAGCAGACAGATTAGTGTAATAAAGAAAAAGGAAAATTAAAACAGCCCAATCTCAGGAGAAAAAAAAAAATGAGCAAACTATAAATGAACTGCCTAACATGAAAATCCTAGGACCAAATGGATTTACAAGCAAATTTTATCAAAAGATCAGGGAACAATAAATTTCAATATTACACAAACTATTTGGAAAAACAGCAAAAAGAAATTATTTTACTAAGTTTCTTCTATGATATAAACGTAGTCTTGATACCTAAGCCAGATAGAGTCAAAACAAGAGGAAACTCTGAGTGTCTACACGAGGCCCCTCCACTGTCTTTCCTCTCCCTGTGCTCAACTCCTTACAGTCTGGCTTCTGACCTCATCGTTCCACTGAAACTTCTCCCAAAGTTAACAGTGATCTCTTAATCACCAAATCCAATAGCTTTTTCTCAGTCCTCATTCTCCTCAACCTGTCTGCCGCCTTTGACTCTGTCGATCAGCCTCTCCTCCTTGATACTCTCTTCTCTCTAGGTTTCTGGGACTCCCCACTCTCTCCTGGTTCTCCACCTCCCTCTCTGACCACTCCTTCTCTGTCTCCTTTGCTGGATGTTCCTCCAGGTCATAACCTCTAATTGTAGGTGTCCCTCAGGGTCCGCCACGGGCCCTCTTCTCTTCTTCCTCTATACGACTTCGCTTTCGTCATCTCCCATGGATTTAACCACCATCTCTATACTGATGATTCTCAACTCCACCTTTTCTTCCCCGATCTCTTTGCTGACTTCCAATCTTACATCTCCAACGGCCCTTCAGACATCTCAAACTGGATGTCCAGTAAACATCTTAAACTCAATATGTCCAAAACAGAACTCCTTCTCTTTGCCCCTCACCCCTTTCCTATCACTGTAGAGAGCACCCCCATCCTCCCAACCCCTCAGACTTACAAGCTAGGAGTCATCCTAGACTCCTCTCTCTTACCCCCCCAACCCCATCCAATATGGTGCTAAGACTTGTCGATTTCACCATTGCAACTGCTCTTACATACACCCCCTTCTCTCCTCTGACCCTACCCCCACCCTGGTGCAGACACTCCTCCCCTTACACCTGGACTGTTCCAATAGCTGCTGGGGGTCTGCCTGCCTTAAGTCTCACCCTGCTTATCCATCCTCCATTCAGCCACCAAAGGCATCTCCCTAAAGTACAGGCCTAACCATGTCACTCCCTTACTCAACATATCTCAGTGGCTCCCTATTGCCTCCAGGATCAAACCCTCTGCCTGGCATTCAAAGCCCTTCATAACCTGGCCCCCTCCTCCCTTTCCTGTCTTCTTACACCTCTCTCCCCAACAGGAACACTGACCTCGTGACTGTGCCACAAACAAGGTGGTCCATCTCCCTGCTCTTGGCATTTTCCTTGCCTGTCCCCCATGCCTGGAAGGCTTTCCCTTCTCTGCTCTGACTACTGACCTCCCTGGCTTCCTTTAAGTCCAAATTAAATTCCCACCTTCCACAGGAGGCCTTCCCCACCAACTCCTCTTAATCTTAGTGCTTTCTCCCCCCATTATTTTCTATTTATTCTGTACCTAGCTTGCTGTGTATGTATTTGTTTGCATGTTGTCTCCCCCACTAGACTGCAAGCTACTTGAGGACAGGGTCTGTCTTTTGCCTCTTTTTATATCCCCAGCATTTAGCACAGTGCCTGGCACATAACAGGTGCTCAATGTTTGTTGAATGAATAAATGAAAACAAAACTGAATTTAAAAAATAGGAGAGGGTTTAGGAGGGAAAGATATGAGCTAAATTTTGGCTGTTTTGAGTTTGAAATGTCCAACAGGCAATGGTGATGGGGGACTCGAGCTCCGGGAGACTAAGGCTTAAATTATGAAGACCCAACCTGCCTTTGTTCTGCCCTGAGGCCAAACATACCAAACCTAAAATGTCTTCCATGAGAGTTCGCCAGATACTTGAAAACGGATCTCATGTCCCTCCTGAATCCTCTCTTCTCTGGGTTAAATATCCCTCGTTGCTACAGGAGAGCTTTCCATGGCATGGACCGTGGCCATCCTCTGGGTGGCCCCGGCTCATCCATGACCTTTCAGGAGCCCAAACTGAACTCAAGGGGCAAGTACCCCCTCGCTGCAGCCCCAAGTCACCACACTTTGGGGACTGCCCCATCTTGTGACTGCTCCCTAAAACATCGATGTCTTTTTCAGGCAAAGGGCTGTCTTGCTCGTTTCTCCCCCACCTTGTACTTGCGACGTTGACTTTTCTGTACTAGTGTTAAGGCGTTTATCCCCATTACGTTTCATCTTTCTGTTTTTAAATCAAATCCAACATGCCAGCCTGTCAGGATCTTTTTGGAGCCTGACACCTTGTGGGTGGGCTCTCCTTCCCAGTTTGAGGGAAATCACCTGAGAGCATAGCCTCCTCTCTCCACCTTAATCCCAGTCAGGGATAAAAAACGTTCAGCTGCACAGGGCACTCCTCTACTGAAGACCTCGCTCTGGGAGTCTGCTCATTCAGGAAGCTCCTAACCCATCGAATCGCCTCAATTCCAGGTCTGCATCTCTCCATCCCCCGCCTCCCAAGAGAGCAGGAGTTAACTTACGGAATGCTTTGCTCAAGTCTCGGTGGATTATCCACAGCAGGGCTTCGCACACGCTACAGCTGCTCTCATCATCTTATTGTAAAACACATAAACCACTTCTAGGTCGCTGGCCCCACACGGCCCGCTCAGAAGCACGCAGCAGCCAGAGCTGGCAGACCCTCGCCCTCCCCGTGCGACCCTGTCAAAGGAAGGAAAGGCTCGTGGGTCGTGCTCCCCCAGGGGCGAAGTCCCCCTTCCTCCTCTTCCTCCTCACGACCTCCTTGAGAATCTGTTCTGAAATTCTGCCAGGAACCGTAGCAAGCTCCCAGCAAATATTCCCAGGGAGACCTCCAGATCAAACAGGAAATCCTCAAGTCCCCCCCCCCCGTGTTCTGCTTCTCCTACCCCCCCTACCCCCTCACATCTGACCCCCACTCTTCAATCCAGTGACATCGACCTCCTGACTCTTCTCCAAACAAGACAGACGAGACGTCCCGTTTCTGGCTCCGGGCATTTTCTGTCTGTACCCCAGGCCTGGGATGCTCCCCCTCCTCTGTTCTGACTACTGACCTCCCTCGCTTCCTGCCCTCCACAGGCCATCTCTCCCGAGCCCCACTCCCTCTGATGATTATCTCCAGCTGATCTTGTCTACAGCTTGTGCAGAATCTTCCCACTAGATGAGCTCCTTGGGGGCAGGGACTCTCTTCCATCTGTTTCTGTACCCCCAGCACTTAGCACAGTACCTGGCACACAGTAGGTGCTTAATCAATGCTTGCGACCACACCCAACATTCCATCTCTGTGCCTTTACTCCAGCCGTCGGGTCCGCCATAGCTTTCCTGCATGCGGTATTTCCCGAGCCCCAGGGTTCAAAGGGCCTCAGAGGTCACCCCACTAACCCTCTCATTTTATAGCACATTGAGGAAGATGAGGCTCTGGAAGTCAAGTGACTTGTTGAAGGCCGAATAGTGTCAACAGTGAAATCAGGAGGCTCGATCTGACGCCCAACCCGGTGGTCACTCACTACAAACACTTAAGAGAGCCGGGGGTGGGCCAGAACTCCAGGCAAACCATTTCAAGGATTTGAAGGAAACCACTCCTTTCTTGGGACAAAGCAGAGCTCCCCTGTGCAGGAGTGGGCGGAGGGAGGGAGGGAGAGATGTTTTTGAGAAAGAATGTTAATATAAAAACAAAATTTATCAATAAACAATTAAAATAAGCCACTCAGCCCAGCACCAATTAGTTAGGCTGTGGAAACTGTAAATGCCCAGGGCAAAGGTCTGAGCACCCAGCTGGTCTGTTTGGCGCCATTCCCAAACAGTGACCAGAGAGGCAACAAAGATGACCATTTCTCAGTTTCTCAACAAGCACCGATGAAGCACAGGCAGGACCTCAGAACGAAGGTCACATGTCAAAGCCTCAGTCCCAAGGGCTCCATAGGTGTAAGCGCTAGGCATCTCCTGGTCCTGACTCCAGTAGAAAATAGTCAGTGAAGTGCGTGTGCCTGGGAGGGGGGAAGTGGGAAAGGCTGGCATTAAAGTCGGGAGACCTGACTGACTGCTGGGGCATCCTATAGAATGGAGGCCAGAGGAGTCCCAATCCCACTTTTCTGACTCAGAGAAAACGAATCTTTTGGACCAAGAACCAGTGGGATCAAAAATGGAGTTGTGTCTGCCACGGGTCCGACCTTGCAAGAAATGGGGCGGTTTCTAACTTGTTAGCGCGGTGGCTCGAGTCCACACTTTGCCTGGCACAGAGTACGCCCTTTAAAAATGCTAAGTGACTGAATGGTGTTTGAGGGGCCGGGAATGGGAAAATCAGGGCTGGGGGGGGGGGTGGTGGAAAAAAGAGGCAAAACAAATATTGTAGGTACAGTCTTCTCCATCATGCTCATGCCCCAAACCAGCACTGGTTAACAGAGGATGGCAAATGGCCAATGTTGCCACTAAAGAGAAGAAAATCTTTTAAATATCCCAAGTATTAGATTTCTTGATTTGGGGAACTCATTTTACTAGCCCTCTTGGCCAAAGAGCAGACCTAGAGCGATCAGAGATAGGGTTGGGAGGTGGGGATAATACAAGACCCTTAAATAGCCTACTGGGCAGCAGCATTTTCAACCAGCTCCAGAAGCAACTGAAATCTGGGTGGTGCTGCTCGTGAGAATAAAACCAAGACTTGGCTGGAGAGAAGGTTTTTATTGACTCAATACTTGAGCTTTTCAGCATACAAAGTCTTTATTCCAGTACAATATTTACACTTCTTACATAATGTACATTTCAAAATAACAAGAGCGTGTATGATTCTGCATTGACAATGAAAACAAACAACTGGTAAGTTTGACACACCAACCTACGGACTAATGAAAGTCCATGGAGTGAGGAGTGGGCTGGGAAACCCCAAAGGAAGGCCAGTGAGCCGCTCTGGCTGAGCCTCCCTTTCTGAGCAGAGAGCTTTAGAAAGCTCCTCACAAGGTGACAATCTTTCCCTGCTTACAATCACATGGGCTTTACTACTAAGTTCTTCTATTTCCTTTGGGGAAAAACAGGATCAGATGGAACATAATATGAAAGACGCTAAAAGGATAAATGCAACACAAAGAATATTCTCCATTTTTGCAACTAAAAAACCAACTACTCATTATACACCTGCAAACAGCGAATTTGCGTAAACAGAAAAGATGTCTAGGAAAAACGGTATCGATTGTAGAACTGATGCACTGAAATCCAATTCAAAATAGTCGAACAGGTTAATTCTGATGCTGTGAAAATGTTAATGTTTTCACATTTCTCAAACAACTGGCTTCCCAAGGCCTCCCTCCTCGTCCGCCAGGAGTTAGTGAGGGGGTGTTATTCAGCCGCTAGCCGCCAGCCGCCAGCTGCCAGCCACCGCGAGGTGAAGCTACTTCAAATCAAGGCGGTGAAAGCATTTTCATGCTGGGAGGAGGGGCCTGGGCTCCTGACTCCATGTTCTCATGGCAAAGGGTGCTCACTGCATATAGTGATTCGTCTTGAAAGACTGTTTCTAAGGCGCAGAGCCTTGGGCACTTAGGCCATTTTCTGAGTCAATATCCATATTCAGAAAAGGAATGGTCATGACATTTCAAATATTATCACTGACAGTGCAGCCATCTGGGAACACTGCTACTATTCAAAACAGGGATTAAATTTTGTTATAAATGAGAACATAAACAGTTGTAATCTTTTTGGTTTATTATAATCATGTCTTTTTACAAAGAAATGTAAAGAATGTTGCTACATGTGTAAGGTTACCTTTTAAAATACTGCTTAATACATTACAGACCATTAAACTGTTTAGGCCATGAAACGAAAGGAAAATTTCAAAATTCATTCATGAGAAGATGCAAGCACATATTTCAACACATATGTACAACTTTCAGAAAGCACAGAAGATACTAAGTCTGAAGGGAAGACCGATGTCAATGAGTCAAACACCGTAATGCAGCGGACGGTTAGAAATCCCTGAATTTTGAAGCACTGTACCGAGAGTGATTAAAAAAAAGGAGCATTCATGAGCATATACCTATTGTTGCAATGAAGGCATTACAACTATTTAACCACCACATAACCTAAAAACTTAGAGCTTTCAAAATAAATTTCACCTTCTGTATTCCGTTCTCAGATCAAATGCTGTTTGCTTACACATTTCGACTTTTAAAATGTGAACAAGCCAGATAATCCGCATCATGAGGGAGTTATAAAAAGCAGCCGTCCCGAGGCTGAGCAGGCGCCTCTTCAGACCCAGCCAACAACTCGCGTGACTGTTTCAACGTCACAACTTAGTAAAACTCAGGTGTATTACATACAATAAAAAGCCATTACAACACAGGGTTTTTACTACAGCAAAACCACAGCAAAACATGGAATTGGCTGGAAATGAGTCACAGGCCTGAAATGAACCTCCAATGACATCAGCCTGGGGCGCCGGGAAGTGGAATCCAGAATTCATTTCTGCCCTTTCGCTCTCCCTTCTGAGGTTTCCTCCCAGCCAGCCCCACAGATCAAGTAGCAGAAACACATCGGCTGGTGGCCAAAACCGCGTCCTCTTGAAAGGACTGAGCTTTGAAGCTGGGGCTTTCCAAGGCTTCCACGTGACCAAGCACCCACGTGCAGTGAAGCCAGAGGAGAGAGGGGCCGTAGCACCAGGAGCCACGGCTCAGCGGCGGCGTGGCCAGGGCAGCACAGGCCGAGCAGCCCTCACGTGTGGGGGGGAGGGGGCCACCAGAGCCTACTTTTAAACGATATTTTAAGCGCTCTGGTAGGGAGCCCTTGCATTGATTTATGCAAATTATTACTTTATTTTTCCTTCAGAGCTGTTGTAGTTTACTTTGTAATCAAGGTACGCTAGATATTTTACTGGAAACAGGCTAAACTTTTTAAGGAAGTAATTAGAGTCTAAAGGCATATAAAAATGTGCTTTCAGGACTTAAGTGTACATTTTCTCTTAGCCATATGGCACGAAAAGCAATAGAACTTAAATCCTAATTTTAAAACAACAAAATAATAAGTCTCTAACACTCATCAAAGATACCAGTGACTGCTGACCACTAGGCAAGCTTGGATAATTGAGAGAATTTAACAAATTAGATTACTGACATTTTTCTCTAGCATGGTTTTTCTTCACAGAACTACTTGATTTGATATTAAATCCCTTGATAACATAATTAACTGTGACCTATTTAAAAATCCAATGTTGGAAATTACAATCTACTCAAATAACACATCATTTCTCCACTTATGCAATAATGAAATCAGATTTCCAAATCTCTACTTGGAGACCAAGTGTCCACATTCCAATTTTATTCCGCAGTGACACGATTCGTAAGTAATGGACAATTACACACAAGGGGCGGCCGCATACACAGAGGAAGTGTCGAGAGCGTACGTGACGATGCCGGGACATCAGACATGAGAAAGAAGCCTTGTGCTAGAAAGGTCAAGAGCTACAGCTCTGCTGCTCTGGAATGAAAAGATCTGGATCAATAGAGTTTGTGAACCGAGAATACGCATCTACTTGCTAAGGCAGGCGCCGGGCCGGGCCAGGGCCCAGGAAAGGACGGGGGAAAGTTGGTTCCCACATGAGGTCAGAGCCGAGGAGGCAAGGTAAGCCCTCGCCTCTCCAGGTACAGACAACAACACAAATGTGCCGCTCCGCTTGGAGCAGGGGCTAACAACAAACCTCGAAAGTCTTCCATTTGCTAGTCAGCTACTTCAAAAGTAACATCTTGATTACAGCTTAATTTTGAAAACGTTCAAGTAATTTTTGGAGGAATTCTATTGCATTGATCAATCTGGCCCAGGCCCACCGCCTCCCAAGGACTGGGCTCTGTCGGTGGGAGGGCAAGGCTGCTCCACTGGAGGGAGGTTCTCCACCCAGAACCCGGAGCTGGGCGTGGGATTGGGTCTGGGATCAGGGGCCTTCTTTCTCACTTTGAAAATCACCTAGTGCACAGGGGATGAGAAGGCATTCATTCTGCCAGGCCACAGAGCCAGCCTTGGCCCTGAGCTCTGGCTGCGTGGACGTGGTTAATGGAATGTGCTAAGCATAATGCCTGGAAAGAGGTGGCTGTGGCCCCTAAAAAAGTCCCCGCAACGACCCATCTGAAGAGGCTTCCGGAGCTCTGACCCTGTTTCTGCACAGCAAGCCTCTCCAGCAGGCCCCTCGCACCCATTTCCAAACAGGCCCTAAAGCGGTATCCCCTCCCGGCGTGCAGAGGTGCGGACAATCATTCACAAAACTGTCTCCACATGGAGTTGGCAAGGAATGTACCTTTTCCCATCACTCATTCACTATCTAGAAAACCTGAATGTGCAGCATGGAAGCAGGAGGAAAATGTGCATTTTCAGCTGTGAGAACAAGAGGGCACCAGATTTAATGTGTTTCCCTTCTTTAAAAAAAATCAGAATTTCTGTGAATCTTGCTGGAAACGGTTTAGTTTTTCGGGATTATTGGAGGCCATTTGGGAAAAATCACGGAAAATATCTTGGTAAGTTTCATCACCTGCATGAAAAGAAAATGAGGAAACTCGTCAGATAAATGTGACAAATGTACAAATGTACATGAAATCTGATGTCTCTTAATTAGAACTTTGTACTGTGAAATTCATGATTTTACTAAGCAAAGTCATGAGTCAAGAGACAAGAAATACGTTTTAGAGACAAGAAATAAGTTCAAAGTAAGTGAGAGGAAAGCAAACAGTGAAAAAAGCCAGTACCTGGAAAAGGTGCCTCAGACGCAGCCAGAGAAGAAAGGGCAGAGTTAGAGTAGGCAATGAACCGAGGGCTTGGACACAATGCAAAGAAGGACCAACGCATTTAGGGACACGGCAGAAGCAAAGTCATTCTGAGGACTGGCTGAACACAAAGCACTTCTGTGAAACCCAAAAACAGGCTCAAAGGCCCAAGCCCATGAAAGCCTATTAAGGAGATGATAAAAAAAACCAAACCAGCCCTCCGATAACTGAAAGCATCGTTGTTGTGGGATGCTCACTACCTGTGGGACCTTGGACGAGCCCCTCTGCCTCCTTGGGCCTCAGTTTCCCCATCTGTGAGAGGAGGGGGCTGAGCTGGTGGCCCCGGAGGTCCCTGGTGCTAAGTAAAGCGGTGATGCTGCCTTAGCCAAGACATGTTGCTCTGGACCAGGGCCAGTCCTGTGGGGTTCACTGCCTGCATCTGCCCTCAGGGTTTGTCATAAGCCAGAGTGGGGTGGACGGGGGCATGGAAGCAGGCTCTTCTCTTCCCAGGAATAGATGAATAGAGGGGTATTCTGACAAAGCCTCTCAAAAGGACTTCTCTGCGTGGCTAAGTAAAGGAGCAGCACTGGCATCCCTTGAGATACACACACACAGGCCGCCCCAGACAGATGAGTGCCAGCACTCAGTCCCAAAGCTGCATTATCACGCGGGTGGGAGGGGCGGGGGGGCACACATGCAGTAGCTCGGAATACCGTTCCTGTGTCCAGGGGCTGGCCATGGAGCCCACATGGAGGTGACAACGTCCCTGGTCCCCCTCGCAGGGCCTCCCCAGTGCCCGGGGCCTCGTGGCAAAGCCGCAGCGGTGACAAGAGGCTCCCCACGGGCAGGGGTGTGGAACGAGGAGCGAGGCTGACCTCCTGCCAAACCAGCGGAATCATCCCAAACTGGGGGGGAGGGGGAGGATCACAGCATATCCTACTTATCTGACCCTTGGACGTCTGATCTGAGGGGAAGGAGAATCCTTTAACGGCCTCCTTTCATGCATATTCTCCATGAAAAGAAATTTTTCTCTGGAGGTCACTGAAGCCAGTCTACTGACTTGTGAGTTAGCACCAGGGATTCTTCCTGAGCTGTCTGAATGGGAATGAATGCAAAGGAGCTGAGACAGCACAGGACCAAGCCGGCAGGATGCACACTCCATCGGTTTAACAGAGGAAGCAGTGGGACGGCCTGCCTCCCTGCCCAGACCCCGGGTTCGGCCCCGTAGACCTCCCGAAGGGAGTGGCCGAGCCCTTCCAGGGAGGAGAAGGAGGAGGTGACCGGAGAGGAATGATTCTAGAAAAGAGAGGTTTAACAAAGTTTCCCTTATCTTAACGGCTGCAGTAAAATACTCACTGTGAAGAGTGCAAAATAGCATTCGTCCCCATTGTTTATACTGGGGTCTGGTATTGGACCTTCCAAAAAGTGTGTTTAAAGTGCAGGTCAGTTTAATACAAAAATACTTGAGCACAGGCTTTATTCTTCAACACAAATGCAACGGAAGAGGCACATGGAAGACATTTGGGAAGGAGGCCCACCAGAGCCCAGAGAGAGCCCAGAGAGCACCAGCTGCCTTCAGCTCCTGGCCACGCCGGCCAGCACCCCCGACCGGCCGCTTTGGAAGGACCACTGCCCAGGGCGAGGTCCCATGTGGCCAGTACCGGGCTCCGCTAACTCTGCTAGTGCTGAGATGCAACTGCAGCAGAAGGGACACACACGCTCGCCCACGCACACACAGGCACACACAGACGCCTGGTTTCTAACAAGAAACGGACACCAGAACCCTAGTTTTCCTCTCCACCAGTGATGGCCTGAAAGGGAGTGTCTAGAAGAAGTGGGATGATGAGATACGTGCAACGTGCTCAGTTACAGACAGGCTTTAAAACAAACCAGTCTCTGGTCACTTCAAACTGCCTCACCACCTGAAAGTCAGGCTGGCTGTCTTCTCCTGACTTCTGAAAGAAACCCAAGTAGGACCACTCCTGCCGGGAGGCCTCCAGACACCCATTTCAATGCTCACACAATAGCGCTTACCCTAACGAAAGATGCCCAGGCCAGGGCACCACCGAAATCTCTTCTCTCCCACCAAGTAAGAGCTCCCTCGTTCAGGTTTCTGAAAGGTACTGAGGCCCACCCGACGCCTAGGGCTCAGCCCCCTGCTTCCACTTACAGGGTGCTGAATGCACACGGCCACTTCCCCTCAGAGCCTGACCACTGCTACGCAGCTTTTGGAGAAGCTTCTCCTTCAAGGCTAACCAGAGCTGTGCTCACCCTCAACAAGATGCCCCAAGGGACTCCAGCTAGTGGGGCAGTCATCCTGTGTGATAACGGCTGAGCGCAACATCCCCTCCGGACACATCCCAGACTGCTTGGGCAAAGCGGGCGTGGTATGGGGTGCTACTGTTTCTGAGAGAGAGACAGAGCTACCCAGAAGCCTCCAGGAAGATCCAAACAGGTTTCAGCAATGGTGAGGCCTCACTCTCTCGGTCAGGGAAGAGATCAGAGGGATTCACCTGGCAAGACGGCAATTGATGTCTCCCTTCCCCTTCCAAGTGAGCAGGAAGCCCTGGCCCCACAAAACAGGCCAAGTCAGACAGCTGACTTCCCCTTCTAGCCCGGGGCTACAAATGAAGGTGACTGATGAGCCATCACTGAAGACCCTGTCTCTTCAGCCTTGCGGGGGCCAAAGAGCGGGCAGAGAGACAAGAGGACTGCCTGGGCTCCCTCACTGCCCAGAGAAAGTACTGAGTCTCCAAAGACCAGCCACATCTCCTTTTTACTCTGGCAATATCACTCCCACGCTAGTAACCTATTCTCAAAATTGCCCAAATGTAAAATGTGGAGGAAGATGCTTCTTTAGAAAGCGTTTTAGATTTCCAATTAAAGACTGGTAAAACCACCTTTTCTCTGCTTTGAACTCAGAAAGGTCCAAGGAAGGCATCGAGAAGGTCGACAGTGGCAGCAACAGAAGAGCCTGTTGGGGGCTGTGGGGGGATGCCAGGAAGGCAGCCCCCTACAAATCCTAGCTTCTCTCTCCCCAGCCCCCAAATTCATACCAATGACAGGGGAAGAGAACTCCATCAGCAAACACAACACGAGAAAAGCCAGCTGACCAAATGGTGGCAGTCCAGAATTTCAGGGAAATTCTGAAAACCTGAAAGTTGTCTATCTTATAAATCTCAGGTTTGATACATACATACACGTATATATGTGTGTGCGCACACACACGCACGCACACACGCAAACACACACACTCTCTCTCTCTTTTCTATTTTAAAGTGCTTAAACACAGAGGCCTCAAAAGCGGCCTACTAAGTATATGATAATTTAAATATCTGATATAAAATTCTCACAATTCAAGTTTAGACTGATGGGTGACCTTCAGAACCATAGCTGTGCATTAGGCTGGCACCTAATTCACAGCCCAGGATCTCCAGAAGCTGAGCCTTAGGAGAAAAGCCGGCCAGCGCTGCCCATCTCCTGGAGGCCTCAGCCTCCACTTCGACCCATAACAACTTAACACAACCCTCGGAGAAAACAGCGGCTTTCTGTTTGGCTTCTCAATTTAAATGTCCACTAGGGCAGCATGAGATTTAACGCCCAAGTAAGTGCCCTCTGTCAGGGAAGGGCCAGCAAAGGAGGGAGGCCTCCTTCTGCACCCATCAGGGCGAGCTAGGTACGTGTATGTGTGTCACACAGAAGCGGCTCGAGCTCCCCTCTCAGGCACAAGAACCTGAAAATCTAACCAATGAGGACATGAATGTGAAGTATTTAATGGAGCATTAAGACTAAAATAACGTAACGGCATGAGAGGCCTCTGCTAACAACTCTCGTCTTGGAGAACACCAAGTGTGAACAACTAACTAGGCTGGAGGGGCGACCAGATCCGCGTGCTGACTCGTCTTGGGGCCAAGGACTACTCCTTCTGAGAACACAGGAGACTGGCACGGCAAGATTTTGCTCAACTAAACAAGTTTGGAAACAATATTTTAAACACATTTCATCACTTACTGTGCATTCTGGATATGCCAAATCCTAAAACATAGCTAAGCCTTCCTCCTACATGTCCTTCTGTCTATAAACTAGCTACTGAATCCCATTATGGCCTATTGACTTGACAGTTTATATTTCAAAGCCTCCCAAATTAGCTGTTTTTTTGGCTGACATACAAACACTTCTTAATTTAGTCAACTTTTTTCTTTTGTATTTCCCAAATTGACTTTTCCCACATACCAAAAAGACCAGGATTTCTTTGGCCAATGAAGGACTTGGTTACCTGAACCATGGAATCACTCTGTTTTCCCCACCTGACAACAGGCTCCTCCAGGGGGATTCTCATCGGAAAATGCCTACTCTGTTGCACCATGGGTGTGCCAAGTAGCCCTGGCCATCCTTGCCCCCTCACTGGAATATTTAAAGACAGAAGAAAGACAAACAGCAGAGAAGGGAAGTCCACAGCGGGCAGGAGGGAGCTGCCTTCTGGACCGTCAGGTGGGAAGGTATCTAAAGGCCTGGCAAGGAGCCCCTGGAGAAGCCACTGAATACTGTACACGTATCAGCCAAGAAATTCACAACTTACAAGTCAAGTTAAAAAACACTATTGTACCAAGGTAACACATTTTGCCTAAGAATTATGGATCTTCTAATTGTAAACTGATAAATTCCTGAATGCATTTCTTATACTGCATCTCCGTGTGATTATTAGGAGAATATTGACCTGGCTGTCCGTAAAGTCCTTCAGACTCCCGCATCTCTTCATTCATTCTGGCCAAACGCAACCTTGGGTTAAAAGAAAAGAAGAAGAGTTATTGAAGTAAACCAAAGCAGCTATAAGCTCAGGTTACCTACATATGAAACACAGCACCCAACAGCCCAGGACGACTTTGTTTAGGGCCCTGGGTACAGTGCCTCGGGCTGGGCTTCCATGGCCCCACACTCACAATCCTCCTCTTCAGGCGAGGCTGGGTCTGTCAAACCAGCAGCTACTCACAGGCTGATTCCACACAGGAATGCCTGACCTCCCTGGGCTTCACTGGACTGGTGCCAGACTTTGTGGGGACCCCCAGTGGCTCACTGCACTGCCAACCTCAGCCTCCCTGCAGCTGGGATTAAACGCAGGCCAAATCATGTCTGCCCCCCAATCTGCGTTGAAGATTTCAAAAATCTATCAACAAAACCCTGGTTTTGCCACATCTGTTCTCATAAGCTGTGCAGCAGGAACACAAGCTTTCTGATCCCTGGCGTCTGTAAGCACTTGGACAGCTTCCGAGCTCGTCCAGCCCAAGGCTGGGCTGAAAGGAAGCGCTCCTGTGGCTCAGCACACTTCCCTCTCCGTGACTAGGCTACTCGTGAAGTGAGCACTGCTGCCGAGGCTGCCCTGGCTCCCACTAAAGAAAAGCCAGCACAGCCAGGGGCTGGGCCAGAGGCGGTCGGTCCCCTCAGAAAAAGGTGCGACTGAAAAGGAAGCCTTCTTCCAGCCTCTAAGCGTGTCTGTGCAGAAACCCCAGACGCAGAGCCAACCTCCAAGGCACGGCTGCGGCGCTCTCAGGGGAGCCCCAAAGGGCAGATCTGAAGGCATCTGGACACCTCGGTAGGGACACCGCCTCAAGGGTTCACCACCATGGCTACAGGTCACCGCTCATCTCCCCCTGCCTTCTGCCCGCAAAGCCTTCACAAATAAGGAAGTCCCAGCAGACGCTTTCCTTTGGACCTGTTACTGCTGAGAAAATGCCAAGGGCACACGCAACCTGTCTGTGCTTTATCCCTGGCTCTCAGCATGTGAACACGCACCCCCCCATGTCTGTCTGTCATCATGGACAGGTAAGGAGGCTTGGCCAAGTCCTACGCTCAAGAGGGAAGAGAAAGACGAGTAGGGGCAAAGCGTTCAGTGACTGCAACCTGCCCCGAAACAGAGACGCCACCTCGCACCAGCATTCCTTGAGGTGGCCAAAGTGTTGGGAATCGTACTATACTGCCCCGCTGGCATACAGCTGACACACCCCCCAATCCCATAAAAACTGCCAAAGAGATGTGGGACCAGATGAGAGGAGGCAGGCATGGAGCCGGAGCACTGACGTAATGCTAGGAGCCCTGGAGTTAGGGGCAGGGCACGGTGGGGGTACCCTGGCACAAATGTTACATCTCTGGGCATCTCTCTCTTTCCCCCTCTCCCTCTGTGTCTGGGCGTCTCTCTCTTTCCCCCTCTCCCTATGTCTCTGAGCACCTCTTTTTTCCCCCCTCAGTCTCTGTGTGTCTCTCTTTTTCTCCCTCAGTCTCTGGGTGTCTCTCTTTTTCTCCC